AAAAAAAAATACCTCACAAAAAAAAAAAAAAAAAAAAAAGTAGAGGACTCCAGACCCATTACTTTATTAAGAAACTGAATTGGCCTTTTGCTGGGTGTCATGGGTTGAATTATGTCCCCCAAAAAAGACAAGTTTGAGGTCATAAACCAAGTACTGTGAATGTGACCGTATTTGGAAATAGGGTCTTTGCAGATGTAGTAAAGATGAGCCCAGGCTTGGGGCCAGCAGATGGTGTAGTGGTTATGTTGCTGGACTCCCACATAGCTGACCGTGGTTTGAGTCCTGAACTGGTGGCTTACAAATCTTAGCAGGCATGTGTGCATACATGCTCAAAATCCTGGAAAGAGAATGGAGGAAAATGGAGAAGTGATTGTGGCATGGCCATCCTTCCTGGGAGGTGATTTCTCACTTTCCCTCTCACTGTCGTTGTCGCATGCCCCACCCCACCAAGCACACATGTCCTAAGGCAAAAACCCCTTTAGGAAAAAAATCCCTACAGGGGAAAAAAAAAAGATGAGGTCAGGCTTGAGGTGGGCTCAAATCCCAAATGACTGATATCTCCTTCTCCTTATGAGAAAACAGAATCACAGGGTGAGAGTCACCATGCAAAGACTCGGAGACACACAGCAGAAGATGGCCGCACGCAGAGGCAGCTTGGACCGATGGTATCTATAGGCCAGGAACGCCGATGGCTGCTGTCCTTCACCAAAGTGTGGAGAGAGGTAAGGAGCAGCTTTTTCCCAGAGCCCTCAGGAGGAATCCACACCGTTGTCACTCCAGTTTTGCGTTTCCAGCCTCCAGACTGAGAGAGCATGTTTTGTGGCTTTAAGCCACCCAGTTTGTGGCACCTCAAAGCAGCCCCAGGGAACTAACACCCTGAGCAACAGGAACAGGAAGCCCAGGCAGAGAGGTTGACTTTCACCAGTGCCACTGGCTCCACTCTGCGATGGTGTTGCTGTCATCATGGCTTTGTGCCAGTGACCACAGCCTCGGGGCGTCAGCATCTGTGGAAGAGAATAGATGGAAAACACAGGACCAGAAGTTGGCATAATGGCTATGTCGCTGGACTCCCATGTAGTCAACCGCAGTTTGAATCCCAGACCCAGTGGTTTAAACTCATGCCGGGCGCATGTGCGTGCGTGCCCAAGATCCCAAGAGGAGAATGGAGGAGAAGGAATTGCAGTGTGGCCATCCCCCCCGGGGTTGATTTCTTGCTTTCTGTCTCTCTGTCTTTCTCTGTCTTTCTGGTGAGTGCACACACCCTATAGCAAAAAAAATGAAAAACTCTCAAAAATAAAAAAAATAGTTCCCCTCCCATGTGAATTCAAGATTGCTCCAAAATCTGCTTCTGGGGAAATAGTAAAATTCAGCTAAAGTAACTTTTAAAAACATCACCACAGGGGGACTGGCTGGTGGCATGGTGGTTAAGGGTATTGGACTCTCACATGGCCAACCGTGGTGTAGGTTCCGGACCTGGTGGTTTGTTTTCTCTTCTTTCTCTCTCTCTCTCTCCCTCTGTCCCTTGCTGGTCAAATTAAGATAAATCAATAAATCAAAAAAGTTAAAAAAAATAATTCTTTTAAAAAAAAATCACCATAGGACTAGGTGGTGGCACAGTGGTAATATAACTGAATCCATATGGGAAGGTCCCAATTTTGCTTCCCAGTCCAGGATTCCAGCCCCAGTCAGCCATATGGGAGTTCAACACCTTAACCACTGCGCCACCTGCTGGACCTCAAATTCTTTTCTTTATTATCATCAACTTTTTCCTTTACAGCCATTTTCTATACAGTATATTACATTTTAAAAGTCTGGTCTTAATATTATCATAATTTCTATTTTTCAAAACTTGAAGATTAAATAAATTTATGATGTGGAGATTAAGGGATTGTTTCATTTCACGTTCAACCTTTTTTTCTTTAAACGGCAGAAGTTTTCTTTCACACCAGGCTAACGCCGGCATGTCTGACTGAGATCAGCATGGTCAGGTTCCGGAGAGGGCTCTCTCTTGGCTTACAGATGGCTGCCTGCTCACAGTTCTCTCAGTGAGGCAGAGCACTGGTGATACATTATAGTAAATAATGCGTGCACTTAGTAACACGAATTCTAAAGAAATAATTTAAAATTGGTTACTACTTTAAACTCATTTTAAGTTGTTTACTTTCTCTTCTAATCCTCCTTTTATACTCTCTAGAGGCCATTTAGCTATGATGATTCATCCATTATGTTTAAAAGGCCTTTTAAATGAACACTTATTACATTTAAATTATTTAAAATGTGTGCATGTAAATACAGAGAAATTTAAGCATGTCCCTTTCTGTCTCCTCTCCACTTCGTTAGTTGTAACTTACGTTTTGTTCTTCCATTGTTTGCCTTTATAACATTAATAAATGTAAACCTGTATGTGTTTTTTTTTTTTTTTTTAGGGGTTTTTTCTATAGGGCGCTCACCAGACAGAGAGAGACAGAGAGAGACATAGAGACAGAAAGCGAGAAATCACCCCCTAGGGGGGGATAGTCATGCCACAATCCCTTCTCCTCCATTCTCCTCTCAGGATCTCGGGCACGTACGCACACGTGCCCGGCGTGGGTTTTAAGCCACCGGGTCTGGGACGCGAACCACAGTCGACCACGTGGGAGTCCAGTGACATAGCCATTACACTAACTGCTGGTTCCCAACCTGTATGTGTTTTGTAGTACTCTGGTCTTTGCCATGAAACCAGAGTCCATGGAGATCCAGTTATTTTTGTCCTTGTCCTATTTGAAATAAAGTTGATTTATGAACTTAGGAACGAAAGAGCCTACTTGCTGATAAATTGAAATGAGTTTCACAAGAAATGAATTGTACTTCATTCGATAGTAACAGAGAATTCGACATGTGGAGCTGTTGAAGGCTTTGAAGTGCTACTTGGGGAATTGAAGATACTGAGCTCAGAGAGAGAAAGCCAGCACAAGGCCATTTTGCCTTTTTTTAAAAAAAAATTATTTTATTTAACTTTATTTACTTATATATTTTAATTTGATCAGAGAGGGACAGATGTAAGAGAACGTGAGAAAGCAAGCCACCAGTCCCAGGACTCGAACCACAGTCGGTCATGTGGGAGTCAAGCACCCTTAACCATCACACTACCTGCTGGCCCCAATTCTGCTCTTCTGAAGAGCAGAGTGTTTTAGGAGCATGGTCTGTACCTGGCAGCAGCTCAGGACCCCAGCTTCTCTCACACAGACGTCATGGTGGCTGTCCCATCTAGTCAAACCCAGCAGGAGGGGAGGAAAGGAGCTACGCTTCCTCCTCTGGCATTCAGCCAAGGTAGCACATTTAATTTTCCTCGCAAATAAACTGCACTTGAGTCCTGGGCTGCAGCTACAGTTCAAATCAGGAAATAATTCACAATGCACTGCCAGCTAGAGATTCAGAAAAAAGGCATCACGCTTATCCTGTTTAATAGAACCGTGGCCTCTTGTGAGTGCTGGTTCTAATGACTGTGGAATAACCCCACAGAGGTGGGACATGTTCACCAAAGGGGAAAACCACTTGCTTTCCAGTGAAGTGGGGACATCCTATATGGGTACAGCCAGGACTGCATTTCAAGGCATTGGGCAATCATTTATTAAATGCTACATTTATAGAACATTTTAAGCCTGTATGTACTGTGTCTCTCTTGATAATAAAATAATTTATTTTCTGTGCATCTACAATGGAATATAAAGTGAAAGGCTAAAATCCCGATCATAATTCACTTTTGGCATTTAAAAAAATACTCTTTGATTCTACATTCTCCTCATACCATAAGTTATGGCATTCCATAATTAGAGAGTACTACGGTGCCATTAAAATCATACTAAACAAAAATTGACATGGAAATATGCTCACTTACTGGCATTAAGAGGAGAGTTCTGGGGCCAGCTGGTGGTATGGTGGGTAGGGCAGCTAGATCCCACACGACTGACTGCATAGTTTGACCTGGTGGCTTGGAAAACACACTGAGCACATGTGCCTGTGTGCCCAAACCCCAACAGCGTGGAGAAATGGAGAAGGGATTGTGACATGACCATGCCTCATTGGGGGGTGTTTTCTCTTTTTCTGTCTCCCTCTCTGTCTCTTTCTCTGGTAAGCACACACACCTTCTGGTAAGTAAATAAATACTTAAAAATTAAAATGGACACAATAAAGTGATTATTTATGGAGATGTGGACAGAGGTCCAAGATGAAAGCGAGAGAATGGAAAATCCCCAGCACAGTGGATACTTATGGATTATATTTTTTTACATCTACTTTTGATATGTAGTTGGGTTTTTCATTTTTGATACGTGATATGTAATAGGGATGAGATTTTAGTTTAATTTTTCTAGATAGCTATCTTAGGTGAATCATTTCTCATTTATTATAAATGCTACCATTGTTAAACTGAACTCTACAATGTAATGGCGTTCTGATCAGTGTCTTCTACTCTACTCCATTGATTTATTTTTATGTTAATAGTGTTTTTTTTAAAGAACTTTTTAAAACTTTATTTATTATTGTTTTCCAATTTGACCAGAGAGAGAGAGAGAAAGAGAGAGGGAAAATGAGAAAGGAAGCCACCAGGTCCAGGACTTGAACCATGGTTGGCTATGTGGGAGTTCAGTGCCCTTAACCACCATGCCACCTGCTGGCCCCAATGTTAACAGTGTTTTAATGATTATGACATTATAATATAATTTAACATTTAGTGGAGCAGCTCCCAAGTATTCTAAAGTTCCGATGGGAAAAAAAAATAGTAATGAATAGCTTTGTAAACTGGCGCCAGGGTGGGGGTTGAGGTGGATATTAATATAAAAACTACCTTATTCAGATATATTTTGAAGTAGATTCAATTTAAAAGGATGAATAAATTCCACTTAGTCTCTAGTATGGCAACTCAATATGTATTAGAAGATAATATAAGAAGGGTGATTTGGATTTTTGTTTGTTTGAAAGATAAGTGCAGTTATCTCTGATAATTAATCATACACTTTGCTTTGATGTGATGCCAAAGTAACTAGATTTCATTTTTATTGTCTTGTTTTGATCATCTTTTAGGGGGAACAAACCACCCAAATGGCTTAAAATAACGGCAATAATTTGTTTTCTTATGATTCTGTGTATGAACTGAGCTCAGCTGGGTGGTCTTCCTGCTCCATGTGGTCATATCTGAAGGCAAAGGTGGGGCCATTCATGTAGCTGGTAGCTGTGCTGGCTGTCAAGTGGGGCTCAGCTGGGGCTGCCACTCAGAGGGCTCTGGTTCTCTAAGGGACTTCTCCATGTTGTCTGGATTTTACTAAGGAGAGTGTGTGAGCATAGAAGCTATAGATTGCTTCAAACCCAGCTTCATAAGTTACATGGTGCCTTTTTCTTCTCGTTTTGTTGGACAAAGATGAAAATAAGGAGGTCCAATGATGATGTAGTGGTAACACAACTGAACCTACATGGGAAGGTCCCAGGTTCATGTCCCAGGGCCTTACTGAATGTGCTGGGTGTGCACACATTGCCTGTGATAACCAGGCTGGTGTAGGGGTGGACTGCAGGTGTGAAAACCCTGTAGTGAATGCCTCTCTCTCTGCCTATTTTAGAATAAATATATAAGTAAACTTAAATTTAAAAAAATAAAATACAGGGACACAAGCCCTGCCCACATTCAAGTGGAGGGCAAATTGCCACTTTCTTAGGACCAGCAGATGGCAGAATGGTTACATCACCAGAC